TGGATGTTGAATGTTCTCAAATTCTTTCCTGCATCTATTGAGATGGTCATATAGTTTTTATTTAACATTTTGTTAATGTGGTGTATCACATTGATTGATTTGCAGATGTTGAACCATCCTTGCATCCCTGTAATAAATCCTATTTGATCATGGTGTATAATCCTCTTAATATATTGTTGAATTTTGTTTGCCAGTGTTTTGTTGAGGATTTTTTTCATCTATGTTCATCAGGGTTATTGGCCTATAACTTCTTTTCTTGTGCCTGGATTGGTATCAAGGTAATGCTGGGTTCATAAAGTGAGTATAGAAGTGTTTCCTCCTCTTCTATTTTTTGGAAGAACAATTGGTATTCATTGTTCTTTGAGTGTTTGGTAAAATGCAGTGAAGCCATCTGGTCCTGGAGTTTTGTTTGTTGGGAGGTTTTTTATTATTGATTCAATATCCTTACTAGTAAGCAGTCTGTTTAGATTTTCTATTTCTTCATGATTCAATCTTGGTAGGTTGCATATTTTTAGGAATTTATCCATTTCTTCTAGATTGTCAAGTTTGTTGGCATATAATTGTTCATGGTAGTCTCTTATGATCCGTTGTATTTCTGCAGTATAAGTTGTAAAGTCTCCTCTTTCATTTTTCATTTTACTTGTGTCCTCTCTCTTTTTCTTTTTTTCCTTTTCTTTTTTTTTTTTTTTTTTTTTTTTTTTTTTTTTTTTTTTTTTTTGGTGAGTCTAGAGATAAAGGTTTGTCAATTTTGTATATGATTCCAAAGAACCAGCTCTTAGTCTCATTAATCTTTTCTAGTCTTTTTAGTCTCTATTTTATGTATTTCTGCTTTTACACATTTACTGAGAACTTGTGCTATATACCATGCCAGATGCTGGGATTGAAACAGACAAAAGCCCCTGCCCTCATGAGGATGACATTTTAGTAGAAGAGGCTGACCATTTAAAAATAAGCATAATAAATAAGCATGTTATATGCTGTCTTACTAAATGATACATGTTATGGAAAAAATATCGAGCAGGGGGACCAAGAGTGCTGAGGTAGGGTGCAGATTGCAGTGGCTATTAGGGTCATCAGGAAGCAGATGACATTGTAAGGACTTGAAATGAGGGAGTTAAGTACACCCGTCTGGGGAAGAACATTCCAGGCAGATGGAACACCCGGTGCAAAGGCCCTAAAATGAAAACACACCTGGAATGTTTAAGAACCAGCAGAGGCCACACTGAGCCTGCAGTGCATGAGCAACAGGAGAGGAAGTGAGATAGTAGCAGGTGGGGGGAGGGGCAGGTCCTGCAGCACTTACAGGCCTCGGTACAGGCTTTGGCCTTGTCACTGAAAGAAACAGGGAGTCACTGAGCAGAGAAGTAACATGCTCTGACTGGTGTATTAAACAGCCCACTGGCCGCTCTATGGAAAACTGACTAAGGACAACATGGCTAGAAGCTTGGAGACCAGTTAAAAGGCAGTTGAAATCATCCATTCAAGGGATGTTGGTGGATCAGTTTAAGATGGTAACAGTGAGATGGTGAGAAGCCCGGATGATGTGATTCTTTGAAGGGTTGGATGTAGAATTGAGGGGAAGAGAGGAGTCAGGGGAGCTTCCTATACTGGAAGGATGAGGTTGTCCTTTACTGATAAGCACAAGACTCTTAGGGAGGGCGACTTGAAGGGAAGACCTGGGTTTTACTTGCAGATACATGAAGGTGCAAACGCAGAGAGAGACACCGAATAGTTGGTTGATGATGAGTCTGGAACTCAGGGACAGATTTGGGCTGGCGATGTACTTATGCGAGGTGTTAACATATAAAGCCATAATACCAGTGAGATTGCCAAGGGAGTAAGTCAAGTGGAGAAAAACACAAGATCTAAGCTCTGAGCCCTGGATGGTCCATGAGAAGAGAAGGAAGCAGCAAGCTTCTGGAGAGAAGTGGCCAGTGCGACAGGAGGGAAACCAAAGAATCATGATGTCTTAAAAGTCAAGAGAGAGAGAAAGTGTTTCCTGTGCCAACTATGCTGAAAAGTCATGTCAAAGGAAGATAGGACTGAGCTTTGGATTTAGCAAGGTTGGGGCCATGGATGACCTCAGAGTTTCAGGGGAGTAAGAAGAGGAATTGTATCTACAGAAAGGCTAGGAAAATCTCAATGATTAACAAAAAGGTGTAGTGCCTGGCACTGAACTTTTAGGAAGGGGAGGAGGAAGAAATGACCGTGTCTTTGGCATTTAAGGGACAGGCTTGTGTGTGAGCCCAGCAGAGATGTTCTGTGTGTGTATAAGCCTTTTTCTCATGACTCAACAGATTATGCTGCTAACGCACTGACTTTTTATTCTCTCTTCAACTCTGTCCTGAATAAAGCTTAATCTTTTAAGTGGAGGGGGGGAATTAAAGGTCACCACCAGCAATTAAGACATCACTCATGCGAAACCTGAACTTAATTCATTACATGAAAGGGATGCTTGCAACACTGTCCTTCAACTTGAAAGTCATCGCTCCAACAATGGATTTTTGCTTTTCATGTTGTTACCACACCTTTGGAACAACAATACTGGGAAATACACACTGTCCTTTCTCAGTGTTCAATCCAAAGAGGCCAGGCTTCTACGTTCAAGGCCAAGCTTGCTGTTTCTATCATCACACACTCCGTCTCTGTAAAATCATCTCCTATCACCAGAATTCCTGCCAAGTTACCCATTTAGAACTGTCTCTTTCTTTTCACACACAGTCATATGCAGAATGCAGAAGAGGGGATATACTTAAACCCATCAGAAAATTTTCTTTCTTTCAAAAATGGAAGATCTGCCTCTAAAATTCCTGAACAGAACCTTCTAACTCGTTAGAAATTACCAATTGCTTATTTCTCCAATTAAAACAGAAGATGAACTATATTTCTAGGCAGGGACCTAAGATGTTATATTTACACTGCTTATCCTCTGCTTTGTTTCAACCTGATGGAGAGAAATATCTTTAACTACTATAAAGAACGAAAAAAATTGTAGCAAAACCTCATTATTTCAGATGCTAGGAGTTTGAAAATAACAGTAATTCAATCCTGACTGAAGATTACTTTTGTGCGGCCTGTTTGAGAAAGAGATTATTGCAAAGAAAATTAAAACATTAGTAGTTTTCAGGAAAGATATTTAGCCCCCTTAAAACAAAGTGTTTCAGATATTATCCACTTGTTAAAGGAGAGCTATCTGTACACTATTAGCACAGAAAAGCACTGCGTGTGTGTATGAGAAATATTTATGTGTTCATGGGATCATTCCACTGCTTTCTAAAACTTAGTAGATTCTACTGTAATTACTGATCTACATACACACTCACCTACAGTCAGGCAAGTATATACATCCTACCAACCCACACATTTTTTTAAAATATGTTTTTATTGATTTCAGAGAGAGGAAGGGAAAGGAAGAGACAGAAACATCAATGATGAGAGAGAATCATTGATTGGCTGCCTCCTGCATGCCCCCTACTGGGGATTGAGCCCACAACGTGGGCAGGTGCCCTAATGGGGATGCAAACTGTGACCTCCTGGTTCATGGGTCAACATTCAACCACTGAACTACACCGGCCGGGCCCAAACCACACATTTTATTTGCCAATGCCCACAGCCCATGAGCAAGTCGGTTTCCCAGAGTAATAAATAAAATAAAATCACTGATCCTCTTTTTGTTGACAGCAACAGCCCCCTCTAATCTCAAGTCTTAAGTGGACTACTCCCCAAACTGCTTTTTCATAATTATATAATTGCAATTTTAGCAGTGTAAAATAAAAAGAAAAATATGTTCTTTCTTGGTTGACTAAGAAGTCACCCTCAAGAGAGATGCGCCTCTTCTCCATGCCTGCAGGCTTATCACGGAGCAGAAAAGATCAGAACCCATGCTTAATAAACATAACACAGCCCTCACCAGTTTATCTCAGTGAATAGAGCCTCAGCCTGCAGACTGAAGGCTCCCAGGTTCGATTCCTGTCAAGGGCACATGCCTGGGTTGCGGGCTCGATCCCTAGTAGGGGATGTGCAGGGGGCAGCCGATCAATGATTTTCTCATTATTGATGTTTCTATCTCTCTCTCTCTCTCCCTCTCCCTTTCTCTCTGAAATCAGTAAAAAAATATTTTTTAAAAAAATAAAATAATAAATAAATAAATAAATAAACACAATACACCAAGACGCATTTGTAAATAATAAATAATATGCTTTTTTCAAACGTTCCTTTCAGAGGGGTTGTATAAGCAACCTGCAGAGGATGGAAACGGAGGGCGGCTCCTCACGCGGTCTAAGTGTGAGAGGCATATATTAAGAATCTTACCAGCCCCAGACCTGCCGATGATGAAATCTGACAGATTGGCTGGCATTACCCTCCCCACTCTGGGTGCTTGTCTCATGCAATCTGCTCCCACGGGGCTGAGCCACTGCCTTGTTCTAAAAACACCAACCACACACACACACCCCACCTCCGATCCTGGAAACTGAGATCTCTCCACTGCAGTAAACATTTGTTCTCTGAAGTTTTCTTAACGAAACTTTTAGGGTTCGTATTTACTGCAGGTTAAGAGTGTCCCAAACGCACAACGTCCAGGAAATGTCCTCCACTGCTAGCCACAATCGTCCAAAAACATCTTCAGCAAACAGCCCCCGAGCGCCTGCTATGAGCCAGGCACTGCAGCAACCGCTGAAGACCTGCAGCTAACTCGGAGGCTGGTTCTTAAAGGACACAGATGTGGATGTGGAAAACAGTGTCACCACTACGAGTGGCAGCGCAGGGGGAGAAGAGGCGGCGGCGTGATTCGTTCTGCCTGGGAGGCTGCGGGACACAGGCCGCCGAGGTTATATCTGAGCTGGCTTCTTAAGGATGAGGAGTTCGCCGAGGGAGAAGGACAGAAATTGCGTCCCCGACACCACAAAGCCCTGACACCTCTTTGGGGATCTGAAAACCTAGAATGACAAAGAAGAGAGCGTCGAGGGGGCGGGGCTGAGTGACACACGGGCAGGACAGACTTTGAATGCCAGGCTTTTATTTTATGCTCAGACAATGAGGTTGTTAGTCAAGAAAGAACAATGAAATCAAGTTCCATGAAGATAACGGGGGCCGTTTGGAGGATGGATGAAAAGGGTGAGGACTTGAAGAGGAGCTGTCTCAGGATAAAGACAAGTCCAGAGCTGAGATGAACAGGTCTCAGGGGCTTTGGAGGGAGGTCCGCGGTGAGGACGAGAGAGGAGCACAGATGAATCCAGGACCCTCATTACAGTGATGGTGACAGACTTCCATGATTCCAGTGCAGCAGGGGGGACAAGTCTGGGTGCAGAAGTGACTTCAGCACTGGCTGGTTAGGGGGCAGCTTTAGAGTAATGAGGAGAGGGGTAGGGGGGAACGGCAAGGAGCTCTAAGGCCAAGAGACATCCATGCCGAGGTTAAAGCCAGCCAGGATGAAGACAGCAGCCAGCCCGCAGAGAAGTGGTGGCCCAGGAGCGAATGCATGTGGCAGAGCGAAGGCAGCTGGATCGAGTGGGCCTCAGGAGCGGTGCTTTCATTGGATGACTCAGGTGCCAATCCCCAACCTCTTCTTCCTAAAGGCAGACCTCGTTTTCCCAGCGTTTCAGTGAGAGGGGGCCATGCGGTAATACGGGGACCCATGAAAACTCTCCCTTTTCTTTTTTTTTTTTTTAAAAATATATTTTATTGATTTTTTACAGAGAGGAAGAGAGAGGGATAGAGAGTTAGAAACATCGATGAGAGAGAAACATCGATCAACTGCCTCCTGCACATCTCCTACTGAGGATGTGCCCACAACCAAGGTACATGCCCTTGACCGGGATCGAACCTGGGACCCTTCAGTCCACTGGCCGAGGCTCTATCCACTGAGCCAAACCAGTTAGGGTGAAAACTCTCCCTTTTCTGATTAAGAAACACAGACATGATGGGTCTGCATTGAATGAGAAACGGATGCCTAGAGGTTCTCAGAGCCAGTTGTGTCCCCATGAAGTGACAAAAAGCCAATACATTAACGATCGTAAAAAGACAGAAAGCTCCAGTGTCCAGAGGGCTAAGAGAACTTGCAGTCAAGGGCCAAAGAAAAGCTGTATTATCGGAGGAGAACCGGCTTCTAATGAGTCGTGGAGAAGGGAACTGTGTGCTAAGGAGAAGCTGAGGGCAGGAACCGAGCCCTGCTGCCTCCCCGGCCCGGCGCCTGGGCACAGTCGGACACGCCACACGTCAGCTGACTCGATGAGCAGTGAGTGGATGGCATAGTGGAAGTCTTAAAAAGAGCCAGCAGAGCCGGGAGGTCTCTAAAAGCAAAGAACTGAATTCTAGCCCGGCCGGCGTGGCTCAGTGGTTGAGCATCGACCTATGAACCAGGAGGCGATGGTTCAATTCCCGGTCAGGGCACATGCCCGGGTTGCGGGCTCGATCCCAGTGTGGAGCGTGTAGGAGGCAGCCGATCAATGATTCTCTCTCATCGTTGATGTTTCTATCTCCCTCTCCCTCTCCCTTCCTCTCTGAAAGCAATAAAAATATTTTTTCAAATAAATAAAATAAAAGCAGAGGGCTGAGCAAGATGGGGACATGGTAGACTGGTCACCTCATTTGTCCCTTGGACAGGGGTCTCTGATGACAGCGAGGAAAGAAGGAGGTGCTGGCCGAAAGGGAGGAGGACCGAACTGCTCTCAGCAGTTTCAGGCCCCAGATTCCAGGGAAGGGCAGGGGCACTGCTTGGAGTGAAAGCAATCCAAGGCACTATGCTGACCCGGGCACCTGTGAGCGGCCCACCGGCAAAGGCGTCTGAGGGCCTTCCCTTTCGGGAGCTGCATGTTCTTAGTGGTGTGAACAGTCTCACCCTAGGAGCCCATGGCTCTAATCTACCAGGAACGCTTCCGGGGACACGGGTCATCTGGTGAGAGATGTTTATTCAGCCTGGCTCAGAGGAAAGCCAGGGACCCACCAGAATCTCGGGTCATCTGACTCTTTAGGCCTGACCACACCAGCGTCTCAGGATGCCTGGCGATAACTACATTGCCTCTGGGAGAGCCAATCCTGATGGCAGGAAGGCGGGCGTTGGACAAGCACTAGCCAGCTGCAGGTGCCAGGGGAAGCAGCCTGGAGAGGTGCTGCCGCTTCAGCAAGCTTTCTGGGTGGACAAAGACGGCCGGGCAGCTGCAGAAGGCCCAAGGTTGGAGGAAACTTGCCACTGAGAAGTGTTCATAGAATTTCCACAAGACCGCCCAGCCTTCTGGACTTTACTGCAGCCTCGTCTCCCCGTCAATACCCCTCCCTACACTACTCCTTCCTTTACTTCTCCCTCCCTGAACTAGTTCAATAAGGAAAGTAAACCTCATGATACCTTATGCGGTCTTGCTACAAAGTGCAGTGTACATAACATGATGTAAATTACACAGAATACATACATTACACAGATTCACATGGAGAAGGAAGCAAAATCCAATCGTCATCAAGCACTGAAGGCAGATATCTGCAGCAGGTGGGCCCTGCTCTATTTCCAATATTGAGATATATCTTATATCACTTACATGACATCTAAATGTTCCACTTACGGAGGAATGACATTTTAAATGTTGAGTTTTATACGTATAATTCCAAGAGTGTCTTACCAAATTACTGGAGAAGCGAATCTAATTGTCAATGATAGACAAGTACATAATCCAGTTAAAACCGCATTTAACACTTGGATCTGTATGAGCAGGCTTCCACATGCATGCACGCAGGACCTGGTGGAGATGAAGCCCTAACAAGGTACAGCACCACCTACTGACCACACACTGAAAATACAGCCTTAAGACCCATTGTAGCATATTCAGGCTGACAGGCTCCATGGCTCTGAAACACATCATCTATTTCCTGTGAACGGATCTCTAACATTTCTTGCAGATTTAATAGAAGCAGAGTAGGAATAAACTATATAACACTGGCAAAGCCTTCTGCCTGGCTTCCTTCTTTGTATGTTACATCTTCCATCTTCATTACAGAAATCTTATTAAATACTTTACTCACTCACTGGCTCTTTCAATACACACTCATTGGGCACCTATAGTGTGTTAGGGGGAGGGTTAAGGTGTTGTGTCTGTTGTTGTCTTCCCCAACTGGATTTTGAGATCTGTGAGGGCAGGGACTTTGTTTTGTTGACTACAGAATCCCCAGAGCCCACAATAGTGTAGCTTGTCCATTTATTGAATAAAATCTCACTCACTTCCCAAGTACCTTTCTCACTCTCCAGGTTCCTGAGGACACCTGCCCTCACCCTAACCCCTGGTCCAGGACAAAGAGCTTGCCCTCTGTGTGTTTGGGGCAGGTGGGCTTCATGGGTGTACACAGGGCTCCATGCTCAGAGGGCCTGTGCTTGGGGTAATGCTCTGTCGTCACTGACTGGGAATTCTTCATAGTTTTTGTTTTTTAAATATATTTTATTGATTTTTTACAGAGAGGAAGGGAGAGGGATAGAGAGTTAGAAACATCGATGAGAGAGAAACACCGATCAGCTGCTTCCTGCACACTCCCCGCTGGGGATGTGCCCGCAACCGAGGTACATGCCCTTGACCAGAATCGAACCTGGGACCCTTGAGTCCGCAGGCTGACACTCTATCCACTGAGCCAAACCGGTTAGGGCATCTTCATAGTTTTTGAATAAGGAGAACTGCATTTTTTGTCTCGCACTAAACCCCACATATCATGCAGCTGGTCCGGTTTTGAGGATTGGGGGTAAGAGATGTGTGGAAATAGCCCACTGAGAACCTCCGGAAGTTGAAGAGTTCTCACGGTGTGTGAACCTTTTGGCCAGTCATAGCCATTAGCTAGTCCATCGCTACTAATCCAGGGAGGGGAGCTCGGCCCCTGAGCAGATGGGATTTTCACTCTCAGACTAAAACAGCCAGCCCTTCTGTGAGCCATGGAACTGTTCTCAGTAATTCTCTCCTCTGCACCTTTCTCACCCCCAACTCCCCCTCCCACCAGACCACAGCTGGAATTCCCCCCCAGGGTCAATGTCAAGGAATGGCAAGAGAGGCCTGTTAACATGACAAAACTGTAACATTAACTACTGTAGAGCTTCAATTTAAAATAGACTCTAGAGGCCTGGCTGGCGTGGCTCAGTGGTTGAACATTGACCTATGAACCAGGAGGTCACAGTTCAATTCCCGGTCAGGCCATATGCCCGGGTTTCGGGCTTAACCCCCAGTAGGGGGCGTGCAGGAGGCAGCCAATCGATGATTCTCTCTCATCATTGATGTCTTTGTCTCTCTCCCTCTCTCTTCTTCTCTGAAATCAATAAAAATATATTTTATAAAAATAAACGCTAGAGCTCCATTTCAGTGGGAAAAAGATGGCTTGTGGTTCTAGCTGAGATGTTGATGGGAGGGAAGGACAGGGACGGAGCCCAGGAGAGGGTGAGTGTAAAGCAGGGAGCGGTGCGAAAAGGTAGGGAGGGAACACAAACACCTCTGAGGGCTTAGCAATTGCCCTGCCCAGCTCAGGGAACCAGCAAATGGCTCCTGGTGCTGCCCTGGTCTTGGCAAGAGCAGTGGCCCAGGAACAAGCCAGAGCAGAGGGTGTACCTGGCTGACCCCTGCTGGTTCTTGAAGGAAATGTCCCGGTGCTCAGTGCTGGGGTTTTCCCAGAATGATGAATACATACAAAATAAACAAATTCCTGGGAGTGGGGAGGTGGCAAGACGTGGGTGTGGAACACTCTCAAACCCATTTCCTTTAACAGAGTAAATATTTGGTGATCCATGTGGAAACCAAGGGGAACAGAGCAGGTCCCACGTCCAGAGAGGGGCTGGAAGGCCCTCCCTCAGACAGCGCCAACGCCGAGACCCTAAGGACGGACCGGAAGGCTGCCATCATGGGACAGAAACACCTGAAACGTGTTAGATGTTTACTCTGCCTCCCAGTTTGCTCTCTTCCTCTCTCCCTGAGAGCAGCAGACAAAAGGCCACTTTTTACATTCCAAGTCGTCACCGGTCCATTCTCTAGGCATCCCTCATCAACATGAAACACGGGTGAAAATTAAATTTCATTTTCATTCGATCCAAAGCAATTTATCTGGACAGAATTTTGCAGAAAACTGTTCAAAATGCCTTAAGACGGAGCAGGAACATTTATATAACCTTGTCGATGACACAGGAATCCATTGTTATCTCCTTCCTAAAGTTTCCCAAGAAGCTTAGAAGCATGTTTCTCGTGTTTCCTTTAGTGTCTAAAACACAGTTTCATACATTCAGACTAATATTGCCTCACGGCAAAACTCGAGGAAATAAAGGCATAAAGACTGATGTCACTGGGACAATTCACATGTCCGGTTTTGAATATTGGGTAGACTAAGAAGGCTACAGCTGCCAAAAATCCACCCTCCCACCAACAGTGGAGATAGATACTCGAACCCTTGTAACGCCTTTGCCCTTGGTGAGCTGTAGTGATTGTAATCGGCTGCATTCGCCCCAATTCTGCTGGGTTCACCCACAATCCCACCAACAATCAATCATTTGAACTTGTCAGATACGCACCAGGTACTCAGCAAAAGTATCAGTCCGGCTCTTTGGCTTCAAAGGTATACCATGGCGAGAACAACACTAAACAACATGGTACAACTGTTTGAGAGACACTATTGTGAACTGAATGTGTGTGCCCTCACCAATGCATATGGTGAAACCCTCACCCCTAATGTGATGGTGTTTAGAGGCGATTCGGTCGTGATGAGGGTCCCCATGATGGGATCACTTACCTTATAAAAGAGGAAGACAGCCCGGCTGGGGTGGCTCAGTGGTTGAGCGTCGACCTATGAACCAGGAGGTCACAGATTGATTCCCGGTCAGGGCACATGCTCGGATTGTGGGCTCGATCCCTCATGTGGAGCTGCAGGAGGCAGCCGATCAATGATTCTTTCTCACCATTGATGTTTCTGTCACTTCCCCTCCCTTCCTCTCTCTGAAATCAATAAGAACATATTATAAATTTTTTAAAAAAGAGGAAGACAGTCCAGAGCTTGCTCACTCGCTCGCTCTCTCTTTCTCTCTCTCTCTTCCTCTCTCTCTCCCTCTCTGCCATGTGAGGACACAGCAAGGCGGCGGTCATCAGCAAGATGGCCTCACACCAGGAGCCAAATCTGCCAGCACCTCGATCTTGGACTTCTCAGCCTACTGAACAGTGAGGAGTGAACGTCTGTTATTCAAGCCACCCGCCTACGGTATTTTGCCTGAGCAGCCCACGCTGCCTAACACAGGTGCCGCATTTCAACCCTGAGGCGCCTCACCTGGGAGCTGATGCGAAAGCGGCGTGAACACATGTCCCCGCTCTTCCCTTTCCCATCACAACAAATCTTACATCAGAGGAAACTCACGCAGCTCGAGCAACAGGTTTTCCTTAAAACATGAGTCATCTTGGCCCTCAGCCTCACTCGTAACTGGGCCTAAATCCGACTGTTGGTTAAGTTTTGCTTTATAAATACAACAGGGAAACCCTTGACTTCAATGGAAGAGCAGATTGCCTCCAGCTGTGGTAGGTCCCGTGGTTCATTGGAAGGAGCAGTGATGGCCGTGGGGTGGAGACAGGCCTCCGTGGAGGGTGCCGTGAGCAGAAGATGCCTGAACTGTCCCAGTCAGCCAACAAGTGCCTACAGGCACCAGGCTCCAGCACTGAGCAGCGCTGGCCGTGTCCCCCACAGTCCAGCAGGAGAGACGGCATACTTCAGGATGGCAACAAGCTAGAAATGAGAATTAGGACAGAGTGTGAGAGGAGCAGGGAGAGGCTGGTGTAGGTGGCCAGGAGGAACCTCTCCGGGGGAGTGACACTGGAGCAGAGGCCTGCTTGTCCGGGGAAGCCAGGCATGGAAAGGTGCCGGGGAAGGGCAGCAGGTGCGAATCCCTGGGACGGAAGGAGCCTGGCCTGTCCGAGGAACGGGAAAAAGGCCAGTGTGGCTGTCACTGCTGAACATCAGGGAGGAGGAGTTGGAAAAGTGAACAGAACAGCATCCTGACCGGCAAAGCCATCGCTATGGCTACAGTGGCCGAGAACAATTCTCGCTCCTGGTGACCGAACGGTGTTTGGTGGGCAGTCACCAGGCTCCGCCTTCTGCACCAACAATGAGTAACTGCGTCTTCAGGCAGACGATCTCAAGCTTGGGAAGCCATCCTCTCCCCCAGCCCCTCCCGTCCTGCTCAGGAGCCTGGCATTACAGCAAAAAGGCAGGCTCAGTGTTTGGCTTTGCAGCCAGACAACCTAGGGATCCCTGTCACCCCGGCCACCAGGCCACCGTTTAGCTGGGGAGGGGCTTGGCTGCCTTCCAGAGGTCTGTGTGCACACAGGCAAAGGGGTCTTGAACAACGTGTTTGAGGTGTGTTTTTTCTTTCCCAGTCTTTCATTTCTCTCTCTCCTCTCTCTCTCTCTCTCTCTCTCTCTCTCTCTCTCTCTCTCTCTCTCTGCATTCAACATCATTTTGTATTAGTTTCAGGTGTACGCATAGCGTTTAGGCCAGTGGTCGGCAAACTGCGGCTCGCAAGCCACATGCGGCTCTTTGGCCCCTTGAGTGTGGCTCTTCCTAAGCCTTAGGAGTACCCTAATTAAGTTAATAACAATGTACCTACCTATATAGTTTAAGTTTAAAAAATTTGGCTCTCAATAGAAATTTCAATCGTTGTACTGTTGATATTTGGCTCTGTTGACTAATGAGTTTGCCGACCACTGGGTTAGGCAATCACATACTTTACACAGTGTTCCCTCCAGCATTTCCAGGACCCACCCGGCACCACACACAGTTATTACAATGTTGTTGACTAGATTCCCTATGCTGTGCTTTACATCCCCATGACTATTTTGTAATTACCAACTAGTACTTCTTAATCCTCACCTTTTCAATGAGCCCCCTCCCCACCCCACCCCTCCACCCCTCTGGCAACTCAGGTTGTTCTGTGTCTGTGAGTCTGTTTCTTTCCGTCGGTTTGTTTGTTGAACACCAGGTCTAACGTCATCTTCAGAGATGTGCTTCCCCTTCCACTCAGGTGCATAGCTCCCTCCCTACCCTCACCCCACTCTTCACTGCAAATGATGTTGGATATGAATTTGAGGAAGAGACTCGCCCTCCCTGCCTTCTCTCTGTCCCGCTGTCCTCACTGCCACGTCCCACAGCCTGGATGTGGGGAAGGGTCTGCCCCCCCTCCATCCCCACAACGGGCTCTACCTTTAAGAATTCACTGCTGCCTTGTGACAAAACTCTCCCGGGATCCCCTCCCACATTGTTAGACTTTATGGGAGACTCTCAGCTTCTGCAAGATCCAGCTGGTGCGGCTCAGTGGTTGAGCGTCAACCTATGAACCAGGAGGTCATGGGTTCAATTCCCGGTCAGGGCACATGCCCAGGTTGTGGGCTCGATCCCCCGTGTGGGGCATGCAGGAGGCAGCCGATGGATGATTCTCCCTAATCATTAATGTTTCTCTCTCTCTCTCCCTCTCCTTTCCTCTCTCTGAAGTCAATAAAAACTTTTTTTAAAGACACAGTCTCGCACCACCCGTTTTTCTATACCCTCCTTAAACTCTCGTTGCTATGAAGATGTTGAGGTGGGAAGAGGGGAAGCATCCAATGACAGCTCTAAACTCTGTGACCCTGGACAGCTTTATATTCTTGAAAAGTCTAACATAACAGACAGAAGTGATCGTTCTGTTACAGCCTCTGAGACAGCATGGACAACACACCGCACGCTGAGCGCTCTGATCCTCTGAAAAGGAGGGTTCCTGGATGAAACGGTCATTAGGACTCGGGGGAAAGCAGAAGGCTCAAAACCGGAACAGGAACTAAGAATGCGTTACAGTAGGGGCAGCAAAGAATGGGAGAGGGGACTGTCTGATCATTAATCCAGTACTTTAAAAAAATATTTTATTGTGGTAAAATATATGTAACATAAATATTGCCATTTTAACTATTTTTAAGTGTACAGTTCAGCAGCATTAATTACACTCGCAATGTTGTGCAACCACCATCACTATGTCCAAAACTACTTTTATCACCCCAGACAGAAACTCTTAAACAATAACCATTAAACAATGATTCCCTCTCCCCACTCCTCCAGCCTCTGGGAACCTCTGTTCTACTTTCTGTCTCTATAAATTTAACAGCTCTAGGTACCTCATGTAAGTGAAATCATGCAATAGTTGTCTTTTTGTGTCTGCTTTATTTCACTTAGCACAACATATTTAAGGTTCGTTTATGTCATATCATGTATCAGAACTTAATTCTCCTTCATGGTCGAATGATATTTTATTGTCTGTGTATACCACATCTTGTTTATCCACTTGTTTTGCTATTTATCAAAAAAGAACCTAATTGACCCCGGGGAGTTCACCTCTGACAAGGGATGAAAACAAATCAAAATCATGTCCCTCCGACATCAAAGTCTATACCCCTTTCTCTACCTCACTGCCTCTCAGAATTCTTGTTTTTGGTTGTTTTTATTACAGCTATTAACTTTTATTAGCTATTATTAGTGAATATGTTAGATCACATAATTTTTCATTTTATGCAAGCTCAACTTATGAAGATCTGGGTTTTACCAAAAAATAAGTGCTATACTAAGATTTTGCGATCCTTTATTTTATAAACGGTCTTATAAGGTTTGATTTTTTTCCAAAGAAAACTCTTTGGGTCTATTTAAAATGTGATTTAACTCAGGAAAAGTTAATATACAGAGAGCATGAACAAGGACAAAGAAGTGAGAAGGATCGGGTGTTTGAGGAAGAATGAGTAATCCAATTTGGCAGGAGTGTCCAGCGTATGCTGGGAAGTTGGAGGTAAGCCTGGAAAGGTAATTTTATTATAATTATTTATACATAAACCCACATGTGACTGCGCCTTATTGGGCTGCATCTGCTCAGTCTCAGAAGAACCTAATCAAAAACACAGGCACAAGTCCAGTTAAGGATGCACAGATGAGTAATGTAGAATTGTTTGTAATGCTTTATTGTTCAACATAAGTATTGTAAAGGGCACATATCTTCATTGTACAGCTCAAAAGTTTTTAACATATTTACTCCTTTATAGCTGCCACCCAGATCAAAATACAGAAAATTTCCAGCACCCCAAAGGCTTCTTTAGACACTCCAGTTAACACCCTCCCCAAAGAACCACTATTCTGACATCCACACAGATGTGGGAGAGAGAAAAAATATTGATAGGTTGCCTCCCACACGCACCTGGACCAGGGAACCAGTGACCCTTCGGTGCATGGGACAACGCTCAACCAACTGAGCCACACTGGCCAGGGTGAAGCGAGGTTTTCTTACCTGTCTGAGACACTTTCTGGAAATCATTTTCTCCTCTCCCCACCGCACACCACCCGTCCGGGATGTAGACAGGAGGCAGTAACCCCAGGGTTGTCAGCAGCTGTCTAGTGATGTCAGGCTCGGGTTGAAGGTGGTGCCGTAAGACAGAAAGGGCGGAATCTGGGTCCTCGGGGACAGCTCTGAACCACTGTATCACACCGACCCTGAAGCCTGCCCTGCTGTTTACCTAAGTCAACGAATCTGCTTTATTATTTAAGCCAGTGTGAGTAGGATTCTGCATCTCCTTAGAGTTGAACACATTCTGGTACAGCAAGGCAAGTTCATTCATTCTAGGTAAGAGATGCTGGGTGATCAAAGGCAGAGAGGACAGAAACAGTGTGACTTACCAAAAAGTGCTGTATTTGTGCTGGTCCTACGTTGGTGTCTGCACATAGACTAGGACGGAGGCTCCACGAGCAATGGAGGCTGA